CACACTCTGACAACGTCCCTGTATTCCTCCCAAGTGGCCTGTGCCCTTTGCCACATTCTGTGTACTTCCTTCTTCTGCTGGAGTTTGGCCAGGAGTTCCTTGCTCATCCATGCAGGTCTCCTGCCCGCTTTGCTGGACTTCCCACTCAGAGGGATGCACCGATTTTGAGCCTGGAGGAGGTGACGCTTGAATATTAACCAGCTTCCTTGGACCCCTCTTCCTTCTAGGGCCCTACCCAATGAGATTTCCCTAAGTAGGTCCCCGAAGAGGCCAAAGTCAGCTCTCCTCAAGTCCAGGGTTACGATCCTACTTATTGCCCTGCATCTTCCTTGCAGGATCCTGAACTCCACCATCTCCTGGTCACTGCAGCCAAGGCTGCCCCCAACCTTCACCTCTCCAACTAGACCTTCTTTGTTAGTACAAGGTCTAGCAATACACTCAAACAGTCATTTCGGACACTGCTAGAGGAGACATTTTCCTTTTCCAGGCCGCTGTTGGTTGCACACTGGGAAGCTATGAGACGAGCAGGAGAGAGACAGGTAGATTTCCGGCATGAGCCCATTGGAGTGACTCACGTAGGCTGTCTGACTACAAGCCCTGCTCCACACGGTGCCCCAGTGTGCCAACACCAGCCCCAAGGCAGGTGCAGAGCAGTCCGTATGCAGTACGTTCTTCAGCCTACAGAAGTCACTGGCAATGTCAGATCGCTCTCTGCTGCGTCAGATGATAGAAATAACCAATTTTGTATGACTCTCAGCTGTTCTGTAGCACCACAAAAATATTCACAAGCAAGCCTAGGCAGGAAGGGTGTCTCCTTTCTACCAGCCCTCAGGTAAATTACGTGTTAGCAGGAGAATGGATTAGAGGGAGTGGCAATCTGTGACGCTCTGGAATGAGTGGAGCATAAGGAATAGCAGCCCGATGCGTGGTGGGAGCGAGTGGTGTGCTCTCGCGGCTCCTTCCTGCTTCACGGACCTTAGGAAGGAAGGCATCTGCACCCCTTCTGCTGCTGCAGCCGGACTGCCACTGGTAATCTCTTCCTCTTTTTTGTGACAACACAGCATCTGAGTTGCCTTTCCATGGGCTGCCTGGAGACAGACCGTCCCCAGGGATACTAGGAGAGAGCTGTAGATGGGTCGAAGAGTCCCACAAATGAGATGGTGAGACTTCTTTGGGGAACCTACTGTCTGAAGGAAACTTGTTACTGCTCTCAGGAGGGGTGAGAACGCTCAGGAATCAGGAAATGGTCTGTTATTGCAAGAGATTTTGACCTGTTGCAACTCTCAAAAGATCACCAGGAGCTTTAAATGAGCCAATTTGCTGAGCTGAGTATCCATTGCCTGGGACCTCACAAAGGGATTATTTTTCCAGGTTGGCTGTTGTGAGGAAAGGGTCATCCCAAGTAAGAATTGTCCCTTGATTTTGCATGCTGTTCTCATGACATTCCACCACAAAAATGCTTTTTATCTCTTTCTATCTTGTCCTGCTCTGCTAAGAGTCAAAGACTTAGAATAAACTTAGAGGCTAGAGTCTTCTGGGGCCTGGCAGCTGCAGGAAAGCTGCACTGAGAGTTGACTGCACCACACAGAGCTGCTGCCCCACTGTATCTCCCCTCTCTTCCAGAGTGTCTCAGTGACTCATGTGCTCCTTAGGAGTATCACAAAAATGACCCCTTATCCTTTCTGTGGGAAAGGAGAGTCGCCCTGCACTGCAGGCGTCCAAACCCTTCTCAGCAGTGACAGGCTATATAACAAGGGGCAAAGGCCACAGATCGCAGCCTCAGGAGTTCAGGTTGGAAGTGAGAAAACACTTTTCCCTCCTGAGGTGGAGCAGCCCTTGGACAAGTCTCCAGGGAGGTGGAGGATCTCCATCCTGAGGGGTTTGAGGGCTTAGCTGGGCCAAGCCA